GAATCAGTGGGTAGTCCAGAGTTTTTACCAGCTAATGAACGAGTTAACTGATGCACGGCTGCTTTGGCCATACCATAGCCAATCATGCCAGGTGTGCCTTGCAACGCTGGTTGAGCTCCAGTCAATGTGAGTAAACCTCCATCCTTCAGGTACTTGGAAGCAACCGTTGCCGATATACTAGACGTCCATACACTTTGTCGCCACATTAAGTTTGCATTTTTAGCCAAATCTACGTGGAAAAGGGTAGAATATACAATGTAAATAAAGTGGCTGCATTTCTTTATACATTCCGGATAATCCCATTTCACAGCCGGAATAAACAGAATGCGTTTGAAATATATGTACGTCAACATATCATCAGGAACGTTCTAAAGAATAAATAAACAAAAAAGTTTATTCCAAACGTTCAGAATGAATAAAGAAATGCAGCCAGTATTTTCAAACAATATAAAATGTCAAGGAGCTGCAAAACTTTTCCTGTTCACTTACTTTCAACAATTTGTCAAGAGGTAGGAAAACTTGTTAAGTTTTGTGGCGGTTTGGTTTTATATGTTCTTTAATATTCTTCTCCATAAATATACATACATATCTGCAAAAATATGCATTTGCACCCAACGACAAAAAATCCCTTGAAATATTTGTAAGACTATTTTAGAGATATCTGAACAGAAAGGGGCGCATATCTCGCACACCTTATTTCAAAAGGGAAACAACTCAAAAATCAGATCCGAAAGTATAACTGCTTGTGTGCTTGTATGTACTACATAAAAGCCACACCGGGCACTTACTTACAGAAGCATTGAAACAAAAACGTACATATCGTCGTTTAAAGTACAAAACCGCGTATCAAGATAATGCAAATCCGCGAATGTGAGGTTGCATAAATTATTTTCTAGAGTACGAACTCTCATATTTCAAAATGATTCTCTTTTTTATAAAGCAACCGCATTTCTGGCTAGTATATTTCAGGACGAATGGATAAGGATTGAGCCATAAGCTTGTGGGGAAGTGTGAGCAAATCCAATTTTTGGCAGCAAATGTCAGTTACGCGTTTTTGCACAATGACGACGATATGTATTATATGATATCGGCCAACCCGATCTTAGGACTAGTTTTGCCTAGGCTAAACTAGATCAGGCGTGACAGTATTTTTGCGCAGAACACCTTTTTGCGTAGGCGGCCTTCGGCCGCACTTCAAAAAAATAACCCTCATCAGTCCAACTCTAGGTACGCAGTCCACAATATTGTTGCGTCCAGCTTGTTTCCGCATTGGGCGGATATTATGTATGTGGGTATATGAATAACGACCGCTTAAAATCGATTTCAAA